GTCCACCCCGGCGACATCGACAATGTAGTGTAAAAGTAGCCCGGAAGTTAGACCCTGGGTTCAGTCTATTTTTAGTCTGCAGCCACTTATAGATGTTCCTGGAGGCCCAATCAGAGAAAAGGAACTCTTCCTTAGTTCCGTCCGCGACGCCTCTCGCGCGCTCGCTCGTCCCCGCCCCTTCCAGGAACTGAGGAGTTTCGTCGAAAGAATGGTTGTCATCAACCGATAGAGTTTTGGGCGCGTCCGGAGGGGCGGGGCCAGGTGGCAGAAGGAGCAGCCGCGCTTTCCTTCCCTCACCTCCGAGCAGTGACTCGCCGTGAAACCCGAAATTTAGGCTTGCGCGGAGAGGGCCTTCCCGGGCAGAGGGGTGCGGCTGGTTTCGCTTCCTCCTCCGCACGTCTTCCTCTTGGGGGCCGGCGTGGACAATGGCGGCCATGGGAATGCCCGACCCGAGCTTCTTGTGGGGAGTTTTTCAGAGGTGAGGGCGCCGGCCCCGCTGCTCCTCTCCGTCGTGGGTGGGTGGGAAGGGGCAGGCCTTTCTCTCCCCCCTCTCCACCCGCCGCCCTTGCACCGGCCCGTAGGGTCTGGGTAGGGAACGGGTCTGGGCATTGGGCTCCCTCCCCGCGTCCCCGCCGCCGTGCCTTGGAAATGTTGTGTTGTGTTTGGTCCCACAGGGTCGATAAGGACCGCAGCGGGGTCATCTCCGACAGCGAGCTCCAGCAAGCGCTCTCCAACGGTACGTCTCGCCCCGCTTTCTCTCCTGGAGGGCGGCTCTCTCTATCCTGGTGGCGGGTTTTCTCTCCGAGGCTCTCGTTCTTCTACGGCCTCATCTGTCGGTACTGCCGTCGACTGTGTGGGGTTTGAAGTGCGTTTTCTGTAAGGGATAAAAAGCACTGCAGAAATGCAGAGCTCTCTAGCCCCTGAAATGTAGCAGGTCCGCTTTGCAGGTATGGTTTTTAAATGAATCCGGAACAGCTGTAAAACTAGGTGATAAAATTAATCGTTTTCTTTATTATGTATTTGTAGTTTCTTAAACAGAATACACCCAGCATACAACAGTGGTTTGCACACTTGGGGTCCCCAAGTGATATTGGGCTACAGCTCCCAAAAGCTTTGGCCAGTTTGTTTAGTTCAAACCTTAGATGACTTTTAAGTTGGTCTGAATTACTTAAATAGCCTAACCCGTGATAACCTTCAGGAGACAAAGTTCAACTGTCTTGAGACCTGCCAATGTTGTTCATTGCAGCTGACTTACCAGGAAGTAGTTGAAAAACCCATTGAGATTAGACAGTTGAGAAAGTAAGGTTTTAGTGATCTCAGAGCTCCTTATTTGTTCCAGTTGTATTTTGTGTAGCTTTCCAGTGCCTTTGTCATGAGTTCTTTATAGAGCTTTCTGTTCAGCAGGCAAACACCATGATTGATGCAAAAATTCATTAAGGAACAAAAATGTCTAAACCCTATGAGAATGTATCACTGTTTTCTTTTGCAATGAATTATGGGCTTCTTTGTATATGATCCTCTTTGCACACTAAAGATACATACCTGTCTACGAGGGGGTGCTGACAAGTATTGAG